CTAAACAGAAGATTTCAAAGGGGGGCTTGAGAAAACAAAGTAAAGTATTATAATGACACATGCAAAGACCTGGAGATAGAAAACCAAATGGGAAGAACACGCTCAGCATTTCTCAAGCTGAAAGAACTGAAGAAAAAATTCAAGCCTCGAGTTGCAATATTGAAGGATTCTATAGGGAAAATATTAAACGACACAGGAAGCATCAAAAGAAGTTGGAAGGAATATACAGTCACTATACCAAAAAGAATTGGTGGATGTTCAGCCATTTCAGGAGGTAGCATATGATCAGGAACTGATGGTACTGAAGGAAGAAGTCCAAGCTGCACTGAAGGCATTGGTGAAAAACAAGGCTGCAGGAATTGACGGAATATCAATTGAGATGCTTCAACAAACTGATGCAGCACTGCAAGTGCTCACTTGTCTATGCCAAGAAATTTGGAAGACAGCTACCTGGCCAACTGACTGGAAGAGATCCATATTTATGCCTTTTCCCAAGACAGGTGATCCAACTGAATGCAGAAATTATCAAACAATATCATTAATATCACATGCAAGTAAAATTTTGCTGAAGATCATTCAAAAGTGGCTACAGCCGTATATTGACAGGGAACTGCCAGAAATTCAGGCCAGATTCAGAAGAGGACGTGGAACCAGGGAGATCATTGCTGATGTCAGATGGATCATGGCTGAAAGCTGAGAATACTAGAAAGATATTTACCTGTGTTTTAACAGCTGTGCAAAGGCGTTTGACTCTGTGGTTCATAACAAATTATGGATGACGTTGCAAAGAATGGGAATTCCAGAACACTTAACTGTGCTCATGAGGAACCTGTATGTAAATCAAGAGGCAGTTGTTCGAACAGAACAAGGGGATACTGTGTGGTTTAAAGTCAGGAAAGGTGTGTGTCAGGGTTGTATCCTTTCACCATACTTTGAATTCAGTCTGTATGCTGAGCAAATAATCAAAGAAACTGGACTATATGAAGAAGAATGGGGCATCAGGATTGGAGGAAGACTCAGTAACAACCTGCAGTATGCAGATGACACAGCCTTGCTTGTTGAAAATGAAGAGGACTCGAAGCACTTACTGATGAAGATCAAAGACTGTAGCCCTCAGTATGGATTATGCCTCAACATAAAAAAAAAAAAATCCTCACAACTGGACCAATAAGCAACATCATGATAAACGGAGAAAAGATTGAAGTTGTCAGGGATTTCATTTTACTTGGATCCACAATTAACGCCCATGGAAGCAACAGTCAAGAAATCAAACGACACACTGCCTTGGGCAAATCTGCTGCAAAAGACCTCCTTAAAGTGTTAAAAAGCAAAGATGTCACCTTAAGACTAAGGTACACCTAACCCAAGCAGTGGTGTTTTCATTTGCCTCATATGCATGTGAAAACTGGACTATGAATAAGGAAGATTAAAGAGGAATTGATGGCTTTGAATTATGGTGTTGGCAAAGAATAGTGAATATACCATGGACTGCCAAAAGAACGAACAGATGTGTCTTGAAAGAAGTACAACCAGAATGCTCCTTAGAAGCAAGGATGGCGAGACTACGTCTTATATGCTTTGGAAATGTTATCAGGAGGGATCAGTCCCTGGAGAAGGACATCATGTTTGGTAAAGTAGAGGGTCAGTGAAAAAGAGGAAGACCCTTAATGAGATGGATTGACACAATGGCTGCAGCAGTGGGCTCAAGTATAACAATGATTGTGAGGATGGCACAGGACCAGGTGGTGTTTTGTTCTTTTGTACATAGGGTCACTGTGAGTTGGAACCAACCTGAGGGCACCTAATGACAGCAACAATGGACTATGAGAGAATAAATTTCTCATTTGTTAAACTCATCTACTTGTAATATTTCTGTTATAGCAGCACTAGGTAACTAAGACATAATTTGGTACAGGGAGTGCGGTACTCTTCTAACAGATACCTAAAATGTGGAAGCAGTTTTGAAACTGTGAATGTGTAGAGGCTGAAAGAGTTTTAAAGTGCCTAGTAGTGAAAGCCTAGATTGCCTTGAAGAGACTGTTGATGGAATTATAGACGTCAGACAATTCTGGTGAGGACTGAGAAGGAAGTGAGGAGAGCTGTTACACTGGAGATGGCACAGATGGCCAGAAGCAGCAACAGAAAAATGGCAGCAGCAGAGAAACAGAAGCAGCAGAGAAATGGCAGCAGCAGAAGCAGCTCGAGACCAGCTCGAAACAGTGCTGGAGCCAACCTACAGAGCAAGAGAGCTGAGTGCCTTTTCAGAGGAGGCTTCCTAGCTAGCGTAGCAGGGTGCCTCTGAGCACTTATCGGAGCTAGTCTTGCCAAGCCCAGTGCATTCCACCCGAAGTTTACTGGTGAGAAGGTGCCTCCAGGCACTTACTGCGTAGCTAAAGAGTTTTGGAACACTTGCCCCAGCAGGGCAGATGCGGGCAGTGAGGCCCAAGGTGCCAAGAGACCAAGGAACCTGGAAGCAGAAGCTAAAGAGACAAAGAATACAGGAAGCAGAGCTGCCTCAATCTCAAAGGGTATATCAAAGGATGGAGTCACCACTCAGACTAGGAGAATGGGACCACCTAAAGCCGAGGGAGTGGAGTTACTGTCCAGTAGGCCTGGAAGGCAGAGCTGAAGCCCTGTTGAGGGGCCTCCACCCAGAATCTGGAGAGTATGACCAATACCTAGAGTGGAGGGCAGAGCCATTGTCTAAATGGTCTCAGAGAACAGAGGATTATTTTCAAACCCTAGGGGCTAATGTAATGTATTCTGTTGACTTGCTTGGTGCCTATTATCCCTTCTTTCCCTCCCATTTCTCCCATTTGTAATGGAAATGTCTAGCTTGTGCCTGTTCCACCATTGTACTTTGGAAGCAGATAACTTGTATTCTAGATTTCACAGATGAAGACGAATTTTTGAATTTTGGACTTGGAGTTGAATTAAGACTTTTGCTATGATATGATGGAGTGAATGTGTTTTATATGTGGCAAGGACATGAATTTTTCGGAGCCAAAGGATAGAATGGTATAGATTGAATTATGTCCCCCAAACATATGTGTCAACTTGGCTAGGCCATGATTCCCACTATTGTGAGATTGTTCACCATTTTATCTTCTGATATGATTTTCTGATGTGTTGTGAATCTTGCAACTATGATGTTAATGAAGGAAACCCTGGTGGCGTAGTGGTTAAGAATTCGGCTGCTAACCAAAAGATTGGCAGTTTGAATCCACCAGGCGCTCCCTGGGAACCCTATGGGGCAGTTCTACTCTGTCCTATAGGGTCACTATGAGTAGGAATTAACTCGACGGCAACGAGTTTTTTTTTTTTTTTTTTTGGTTTATGATGTTAATGAGGTAAGATTAGAGGCAGTTATGTTAATGAGGCAGGACTCAATCTACAAGATTATGTTGTATAGTAAGTCAATCTCTTTTGAGATATAAAAGAGAGAAGCAAGCAGAGAGACTTGGGGTACCTCATACCACCAAGAAACAAGAGCCAAGAGAATAGCACATCCTTTGGGCCTGAGAAGCTCCTCGACAGGGGAAGATTGATGACAAGGACCTTCCCCTGGAGCAAAAAGAGAGAGAAAGCCTTCCCCTGGAGCTGGCACCCTGGATTTGGACTTCTAGCCACCTAGACTGTGAGAGAATAAATTTCTCTTTGTTGAAGCCGTCCATTTGTGGTATTTCTGTTATAGCAGCACTAGATAACGAAGACAGCGTCTCTAAACCACGGGCAATGAGGTGAGACCAATATATTACTTCTAATGTTGTGAACAGAACCAACCCACTTTGGTATAACTTTTTTGTCCACATGTATTGAGCATACTCTTAGTAGTTTGTGAATAATTAAAACACCCTTCTCCCACCTGCTGTGTTTGGCTCTAAAGCATCTGCTAATTCTGCCCTGTAAATGGTAGTCTAGGACACTACAAGAGAAGACTGTTAAGAAGGCACAAGAGGCACATAATTATCAGATGTTGTTGTTTTTTGCCATTGAATTGATTCTGACTCATGGCAACCTCATCTGTTCCAGAGTAGAACCATGTTACCTAGGGTTTTCAATGGCTGATATTTTGGAAGTAGAATGTCAGGCCTGTCTTCTGAGGCACCTCTGGGTGGACTTGAACGACCAACCTTTCAGTTAGCAGTTAGCAGTTAACCATTGTTGTACTCAGGGACTCCTTTTCAGATATTAACTACCAATTGTCCAGTGCTTTTTATGTGCCAGGCTCTGTATTCAGTACTTTATCAAATTTAATCATCATAGCAATCTTTCTTTATGTATGAGGAAACTGAGACTCAGACAGGTTAAGAAACGTGCCCAGGGTCACAAAGCTGTGTAGTTTGTCTAGAATTTGATTCCGATTCCTTCTAATGTCCATGTTGTTAACTATTACACTCTACCTCCTGGTAAGCAAGAGACTTGTCGCTTGAATGTCCCCCTGTATGCTTGCATTCTGCCTCGCTTCAGAAACAACTTAAGGCAGAAGCACACACCCACACTTGATTCTCTTTTGCTCTCTGGCATGCTCTCTCCTTCTCCCTTTCTCTTACCAGTTCTTTGCCCCTTCATGAGTTGGCTCTACTTTTCCTAGCCTCAAACTTGCATGAGTGATGGGTAAAGACAGACAGGGTGACACCTGGAGCCCCAAGGGATCCCAGAGTCTGGAGGGATAATCTACCTGGTGCTGCCCTCCCACCCTGGGATTTTTGAGGGCCTGTTGCTGGGATGGAGGGAAGCTGAACTCGTCTTTGGTTCTCTGTACTAGGCTGGCTTGTGACCCAACCCTGTTCTTACTCTGGGACAGAGTTTTCAAGCTTGGGTATGGCTTTTTCACCCAAGAATGCTGAGTAGTCCCAAGGCAAAGCAAACTAACCCTGTGTTAGTGGACATGGTGGTAATATTTGAGGGAAGCTTCTTAAAAACATCATCTAGGGGACTATTTAAAAGGTCTTAAAAATCCATGCACAATCTAATTACTTGTTTCTTTTCCACTGTAGATGCAGCAGCAAGAGCACTGCTCCTTGAAGTCCACCCTCTGCATCCTGGCCCTGGGGCTGGGTCGCCTCCTTTGCTGGTGGTGGCTGGCAGAGCTGATGGCACACCTGATGTACATGCATGCCATCTACAGCAGCACCACACTTCTGGGGGCCGTCTCTTGTTGGACTTTAGGTAATTGTGGAATCACCATCAGTGGGACAAGCACCAAGTGTCAGCTTTAGAGTGAAGCTGGAGGAGGGCAGGTAGGGGTGCAGCTGCTTGGAACAAAGCCCCTTATTTTATCTCTTTTCTCTTGTGAACAGGATTATTCATGTGAAGTGGCTGACAGAGGTGAGGGCCATGCTTTGGGGTCTGGGAATCCAGAATGGTAGCAGTCTGTCCTTGTAATGGAGTTCTAATGAGCTTAGCTGAGCTGTATCTTCACAGTGTGGCCAGTATTGCCTTTGGCAGCAGAGGGCAAGAAGAGCTGGTGGGGGCAGCCTTTGAGTCCATTCTAAGGGATAATATTCCAAGACTGAGTTGTTCTGCAGTCTCTTGTTCTTCTTGCATAAGGTATAAAGGAAAGAATATGGACTTCAGAGTCAAGACAGATGTAGATTTGAATCCCAGCTCCATCAACCATTAGTCGGCGGCCTTTGGCAGTTTACTAGAACTCTCTGAGCTTTAGCTTCTTTTTCTGATTCTGACTCATAGAGACCCCAGGTGACAGAGTAGAACTGCCCTTTGGGGTTTTCTAGGCTATAATCGCTATGGGAGTGGATTGCCATGTTTTTCTACTGTGGAGCCACTGAGTGGGTTCAAACCACCAGCCTTTGGGTTAGCAGCTGTGTGCTTAATTGTTGTGCCACCAGTGCTCCTTTGAGCTTTAGCTTCATCTGTAAAATGAGGAGACTTACCTTTGCGGGGTTTTTTGAGGATTACATGAGATGATGCATGTTAAAGACTTACGTCATAAATTGGCTGCCAGACAGAATAAATGGTTTGTGTGCGTCTTTCTCCTTTCATTGTTCCCTTTATCTTGTTTACCCATCTCTTTATATCCGCAAATGGAAGTAGAATAGAAGTCTTCTTTCTCTTTTTTAAGAATTTTTTTTATTGTACTTTAGATGAAGGTTTACAGAGCAAACTAGCTTCTCATTAAATAATTAATACACATATTGTTTTGTGACATTGGTTGCCAACCCCGTGACACGTCAACACTCTCCCCTTCTTGACCTTGGGTTCCCCATTACTAGCTTTCCCGTCCCCTCCTGCCTTCTAGTCCTTGCCTCTGGGCTGCTGTGCCCCTTTAGTCTCGTTTTATAGGCCTGTCTAATCTTTGGCTGAAGGGTGAACCTTAGGAGTGACTTCAGTGCTGAGTTAAAAGGGTGTCTGGGGGCCATTCCCCCGGGGTTTCTCCAGTCTCTGTCAGACCAGTAAGTCTGGTCTTTTTTTTTGAGTTAGAATTTTGTTTCACATTTTTCTCCAGCTCTGTCCAGGAACCTCTATTGTAATCCCTGTCAGAGCAGTTGGTAGCTGGGCACCATCTAGTTGTGCTGGACTCAGTCTGGTGGAGGCTGTGGTAGTTGTGGTCCGTTAGTCCTTTGGACTAATTTTTCCCTTGTGTCTTTGGTTTTCTTCATTCTCCCTTGGTCTAGATGGGGTGAGACCAGTGGAGTATCTTAGATGGCTGCTCACAAACTTTTAAGACCCCAGAGGCTACTCACCAAAAGTAGAACATAGAACATTTTGTTTATAAACTATGTTATGCCAGTTGAGCTAGATGTTCCCTGAGACCACAGTCCCCACAGCTCTCAGCCCAGTAATTTGGTCCCTTAAGGAGTTTGCATGTGTTTATGGAGCTTCCGTGACCTTGCCTTTGTCAAGTTGTGCTGGCTTCTCCAGTAGTGTACTGTCTTACCCTTTACCAAAGTTAGCACTTAATCTGTTGTCTGTTTAGTATTCCCCCCTCCCCTCTCTGGTAACCATCAAAGATTGTTTCTTTTTGTGTGTAATTTTTTTTGTGAGTTTTTATAGTAGTGGTCTCATACAATATTTATCCTTTTGTGACTGACTTACTTCACTTAGCATAATGCCCTCCAGATTCATCCACGTTGTTAGATGCTTCGCAGATTCATCATTGTTCTTTATTGTTGTGTAGTATTCCATTGTGTGTATGTACCATAGTTTATTTATCCATTCATCTGTTTATGGGCACCTAGGTTGTTTCCATCTTTTTGCTATTGTGAACAATGCTGTAATGAACATGAGTATGCATATGTCTATTCGTGTGAGGGCTCTTATTTCTCTAGGATATATTCCTAGGAGTGGGATTGCTGGATCTTATGGTATTTCTATCTCTAGCTTTTTAAGGAGGTGCCATATCATTTTTCATAGTGGTTGTACCATTTTGCATTCCCACCAGCAGTGCGTAAGAGTTCCAGTCTCCCCACAGCCTCTCCAGCATTTGTTATTTTCTGTTTTTTTGATTCGTGCAAGTAATATTGGGGTAAGATGGTATCTCATTGTGGTTTTGATTTGCATTTCTCCAATGGCTAGTGATGGCGAGCATTTTCTCTTGTGTCTGTTAGCTGCTTGAATATCTTCTTTGGTGAAGTGTTTGTTTATATCCTTCGCCCATTTTTTAATTGTATTATTTGTCTTTTTGTTGTAGAGATGTTGGATTTTCCTGTAGATTTTAGAGATTAGACCTTTGTCAGATTTGTCATAGCCAAAAATATTTTCCCAGTCTGTAGGTTCTCTTTTTACTCTTGGTGAAGTCTTTTGATAAGCGTAAGTGTTTAATTTTTAGAAGATCCCAGTTATCCAGCTTATCTTCTTGTGTTTGTGTATTGTTAGTTATGGTTTCTATCCTGTTAATGCCGTGTATTAGGGCCTCTTGTGTTGACTGTATTTTTTCTTCTATGATCTTTATAGTTTTTGGTTTTATATTTAGGTCTTTGATCCATTTTGAATTAGTTTTTGTGTATGGTGTGAGGTATAGGTCCTGTTTCATTTTTTTTGCAGATGGACATCCAGTTTTGTCAGCACCATTTGTTAAAAAGACTGCCTTTTCCCCATTTGATGGACTTTGGGTCTTTGTCACAGGTCAGGTGACTGTAAGTGGATGGGTTTACATCTGGGTTCTCAATTCTGTTCCATTGTCAAATGTATCTGGCATTGTACCGGTACCAGGCTGTTTTGACTCCTGTGGCTGTACAGGTAGTACGGGTTCTCCTACGGCTAGAAGTCTTATTTCTTTAGAAGAACATAAAGGCATCTTGGTCTCCAGTACAGAATTTGCCTGTGGAGAAACCATGTTGTCAGTGTTCTTGGTTGCCGTCCAGTTTGCTCTGACTCGTGGAACCCCACGTACAACAGAACAAAACGTGGCCCCATCCTGTGCCATTTTCATGATCCTTGGTATGATTGAAAGAAACCGTAGTTCTTCTTTATTCCTCTGATCAAAACAGCAGAGAACTTGCCCCTTTCTGAACTAAATTGCCTCACTTACTTGTTTTCTCTCCTCTGGGGAACTCCCACAGTGAGTTGCTGAATTCAAGGTCTGACCTCCAGCCTGTAGTTCCAGTGGGGAGTGTGTGATCTTCCAGGCTGATAAGCTGCTGCCTGCAGAGGGCAAGAGTACAAGCCTAATTCCTTATCTGTTTGGCAGTTTATAGATCTTTTTTTTTTTAAAAAAAAATCTTGATTTTCCTTGGTATCACTTGCTAAATGAAAATGTTTTCATGGAAGAAGCCTCTTCTTCCCAAATAAACCTTTTCATAGTAGGGGTAACTATTCTAAGGTTTTAATGGTATGATTAGACAAACAGAATAGGATTAAATGATGGTTTATACTAAATAAGATCCCAGTGGTACAATATCCACGTCAAGGAATTGTTTCAGTTTGGATATATTTAACTATAAGTAATGATAAACCTAACTCAAAATGGGGCTTAAAGACTGAGGAAAAGTTACTGTCTCACAAACAGTTACTCATAAGGTAAGTACTGTTGTTAGCTGTTGGCCCCTGACTCTTGGCAGCGTCATGCATAGTGGGATGAAATGCTGCCTGGTTCTGTGCCTTCACCATGATCGGTTGTGGATAGGACTGTTGTGATCCGTAGGTTTTCCATTGGCTGAATTTTAAAAGTACAGCAAAACTTGTGAGAGCCCGAACTCGACAGGACTGCCCTGTTTTTCCAGGTCTTGCAAGTTTTCCACCTTTGACAGGGTACAGTCACCACTTTTCTTTTGTTCTCTATTTAGTGGAAAATATTTGAGTTTTCCTTCTCTGACCGGTTTCCACCTTACACAGGTTCTGATTTCACAGGTTTTACTGTAGTTTGTTGGGCCTTTCTTCTATTCTGTCTTAGTCTGGAAGCCCTTCTGAAACCTGTTCAGCATCATAGCAACACACAAGCCTCCACTGACAGACAGATGGTGGCTGTGCATAAGGTACATTGACCGGGAATCTAACCAGGTCTCCGGCATGGAAGGCGAAAATTTTACCACGGAACCACCAGGGCCTCATAAGGTCAGCAATGTTGTTGTGTGTTGTTGATTTTGACTCACAGAAACCCCATGTGAAGGAGTAGTACAGCCTAGGGTTTCCTGGGCTGTAATCTTTACGGGATCAGATCGCCAAGTCTTTCTCTCGCAAAGTGGCTGATGGTTTCAGATCGCCGACTTTTTGGCTAGGAGCTGAGCGCATAACGGTTGTGCCACTAGGGCTCCTTAAAGTCAGCACTAGGGGCAGTAAATTCAGTGACTCAGAAACATCATCAGTGATTCATTTGTGTATCTGCCATTCAGCTTAAGAGCTAACTGGAAGACCAGGCCAGTTGTCTTACAGAATATGCTACCAACTGGCTTTGTTAGCCTGCTTCCTCATGATGTCATTTAGCTTACTCCTATGTTCCTTATGCTTCTTATAAACTAAAAGTTATATCAAAAAGCTTCATGGATTAAAGTTAATCATTTTTGGCTAGAATACCTCATAGATAAATATTCTATACTTAAACTTCCCCCAAGTCTTACAAAAAATTGCAAACATCCGTAAAGTTTGAGTGAATTATACAATAAACACTATATACCCACCGTATAGATTCAATAATTGTTAACTTTTTGCCTACATATAAGACTGTTTTCCCACCTAACTATAATTATGTTATCACACCTGAAACAATAATA